ATCCCAGATATGTAGAAACTAGACAACATAGTTTTATATAATTTATGGGTAAAAGAAGATATCAAAAGTTAAAAATATGTTGAATGGAATAAAAATGACAACATAACATCAAACAACATGTTGGATGCAGCTAAAGTAATGCTTCTTCTATCCAGTAAAACAGTAAGACAAGTTCACAAGCACACTAATCTTCACATTAAGCACAAAATAACACCAAAGAAATTGAAAGCAGTGGTGCACTGAAAGTATTCATAATGACAATGAAACCTGAAAACAGCTCAACACTTGCCTAGATTAACTTAACTTTCCACACTGAAAGTCTATCAGAAGAAGAAGCATGCACATCTCAGGCATAAATACTCATTATTTTAGTTCTCAGTTCTACTGGATGCTCAATACTCAATCAAAAGTTATGAGACACCCAAAAATGCAGAAAGAAAACAATACACAGTCAAGGGGGAAAAATAAATCAGCACAGCCAGACTCAGAGATAATTGAGATGTGCAGATTTCAGAGAGGTATTTAAAAATAACTACGAGTAGTGTGTTCAAGTCTCTAGTAGAAGAAACCGACAACATGTAATATTATGTGGGAAATTACAACCAAAATGGAAACCATAAAAAAAATTAAAAATGCTGTAAACGAAAAGCATGCTAGCAGAGATGAAGACTCACTTTGACAGACTTGGTAGCTAACTCAAAGTAACTCAGGAAAGAATCTGTGAATATGCAGATTCGTTAACAGAAATTACTCAAACTTAAGCCAAGGGAAAAAGAAAAATTAGAAACAAAAACAGAGCATCCCATGTTGTTGGACAATATCAAAATTTTTTTTTTTTTTTTTTTGTTGGGACACAGTTTATTTTATAAGGTAAAAATGAAGCTCGTTTCCTAATATATTCCCTATGAGGATTTGACCATAGGCATGACACAGAAAGAAGAGTCAATAATGTAGACCATAACCTGAAATTCTCAAGAGAATATACTGTCAACTTGTTCCCTCCAGGTGTCTATACACACAGACACAGACTAGCAACATGGCAAATTCAAAAGTATTTTAAAAAATCAATACATGGAGAAATTTCCTGTAAAATTTCAAATATGAATAGGTAAAAGAACAATGAGAGAAATATTTACCCTATCTTTTACTAAAAGAGGCAAGACTGGCTATACAGTGGCTCATGCCTGTAGTCCCAGCACTTTAGGAAGCCAAGGTGGGAGGATCACTTGAGCCTGAGTTTGGGAGACCAGTCTAGGAAATATATGAACCCCAACACCACATAAAAAAATAAAAATAGGCCTGGCGTGGTTGCTCATGCCTATAATCCCAACACTTTGGGAGGCCATGGCGAATTAGGTCACCGAGGTCAGGAGTTCAATACCAGCCACAACCAACATGGAGAAAATCCCATCTCTACTAAAAATACAAACCCCATCTCTACTAAAAACACCAAGCTGAGCTTGGTGGTGCATCTCAGTAATCCCAGCTACTGGGAGGCTGAGGCAGGAGAACCGCTTGAACCGGGAGGTGGAAGTTGCCGTGAGTCGAGATCGTGCCATTGTACACTAGCCTGGGCAACACAAAGAGGTGAGAAACTCCATCATAAATAAAATAAAATAAAATAAAATAAAATAAAATAAAATAAAATAAAATAAAATAAAAATAATCCAGGTGTAGTGGTGTGCCTGCAGTCCCACTTACTCATAGGCTGAGGTGGGAGGATTGCTTAGCACAGCAGTTAAAGGCTGCTGTGAGCTATGATCATGCCATTTCATTCCAGCCTGGAGGACAGAGCAGAACGCTGTCTCAAAAAAGAAAGGAAGAAAGATAAGCAAGAAAGAAAGACAGAAAGCAAGCAAGCAGAAAGAAAGAGAAAGAAAGGAAGGGAGGGGAGGGAGGGAAGGGAGAGAAGGAAGGAAGGAAGGAAGGAAGGAAGGAAGGAAGGAAGGAAGGAAGGAAGGAAGGAAGGAAGAGGAAAAAACAATTGTTTTACAGTGGACTGTTTCAGTTCATTGCAAGTGTATAGAAATACAAGTTATTTTTTGGCATATTAGTGTATCCCACAAACTTTAGACTTGCTGATTAGTTCTAGTGGTTTTAGTGAATTCCTTAGGATTTCACCTAAATTCCTTAGGCAGTGCCAGTACAATGAATAGAAGAGGGTGCAAGCAGGTGTCTTTGTATTATTCCTGATCTTAGAGAGAAAACACGTAGTCTTTCACTATAAGTATGTTAGTAGGTATGAGTTTTTGTAGTTTCCTCTTTATTAGGGTGAGAAAATTATCTTCTATGCATACATTGTTGAATGTTCCTATTACAAAGGAATGTTGAATTTTGTCAAGGTGAACAGGCAACCTACAGAATGGGAGAAAATTTTGCAATCTACCCATCTGACAAAGGGCTAATATCAGAACCTACAAAGAACTCAAACAAATTTACAAGAAAAAAACAAACAACCCATCAAAAGTGGGCCAAAGGATATGAACAGACACTTCTCAAAAGAAGACATTCATACAGCCAACAGACACATGAAAAAATGCTCATCATCACTGGCCATCAGAGAAATGCAAATCAACCACAATGAGATACCATCTCACACCAGTTAGAATGGCGATCATTCAGAGTCAGGGAAACAACAGGTGCTGGAGAGGATGTGGAGAAATAGAACACTTTTACACTGTTGGTGGGATTGTAAACTAGTTCAACCATTATGGAAAACAGTATGGCGATTCATCAAGGATCTAGAACTAGATGTACCATATGACCCAGCCATCCCATTACTAGGTATATACCCAAAGTATTATAAATTATGCTGCTATAAAGACACATGCACACGTATTTGTGCAGCACTATTCACAATAGCAAAGACTTGGAATCAACCCAAATGTCCATCAGTGACAGATTGGACAAGAAAATGTGGCACATATACACCATGGGAGAATACTATGCAGCCATAAAGGATGAGTCTGTGTCCTTTGGCAGGGACATGGATGCAGCTGGAAACCATCATTCTCAGCAAACTATCACAGAACAGAAAACCAAACACCGCATGTTCTCACTCATGAGTGGGAACTGAACAATGAGATCCCACTTGGACTCGGGGAAGGGAGACATCACACACCGGGGCCTATCATGGGGGGAGGGGGAGAGGTTGCATTGGGAGTTATACCTGATGTAAATGACGAGTTGATGGGTGCAGCACACCAACATGGCACAAGTATACATATGTAGCAAATGCACGTTATTGCTATGTACCCTACAACTTGAAGTTTAATAATAATAAATAAATTAAAAAAAATCAGACAAAGACATCGGTAAAACTATGGACCAATGTTTATGAATACAGATGTAAATATTCTCAACAAAATACCAGCATACCTAATCCAGCAATATGCAAAAATAAGCCTTTACTTATGATAAATCTGATTTATCCCAGGAGATACATAGTTAGTTTTATTATTGTATAAACCTGCACGTTGTGCAAATGTACCCTACAACTTGAAGTTTAATAATAATAAATAAATTTAAAAAAAATCAATTAATACATCATCTCCAATAGAATAAAACAAAATTTTTAACATACATATTTATCCATCCAAAAATAAAATGAAAAAGAGTTATATAGAACAATATCTGAAGAGACAATGGTTTGATAATTATTTTAAAGAATTACAAAATACCACTCAAACTACAGATATAAGAGATTTTGGGAACTTCAAGCAGGATAAATAATGAATGAAATAAAGCACACATACACACTTAAACATCACTTATTCCAGTAAGCTCAAAACCAAAGATAAAGAGAATATGTTAGAGAGCACTCAGAGGTAAAATGGTGAAGATATACACAGGAAAGGGAGAATTCCAGCAGACTTCTTGTCAAAAAATTATACAAGTCCTAAATAAAGGAGTCACACCATGACTAAAGCACTGAAAGTAAAATACTGCGAGCCCCAAATTTTATGCACAGAGTAGATATACACCTTTAATAAATGCAAAGAAGTGGGATAACTTTTAGACAAACAAAAATTGATAATTCATCCTTAGCAGACCTGCACTACAAGAAACATTTTTAAAAATGGCCTCAGGAAGACCAGAATATATCAGAAAAAAATTTAGATCTGTCAGCAAACTAACAGAGGAACAGCCAACTTTACATGTTCTCATTCATAGAGTGGGAGTTGGGCAATGAGAACACATGGACACAGAGAGGAAACAACACACACAGGTCCTGGTAGGGGTGACAGGGTGAGGAGGAACTCAGAGCGAGGTCAATAGGTGCAGCAAACCACCATGGCACATGTATGCCTATTTTAAAAACCTGGACGTTCTGTACATGTATCCTGCTTTTCTCTTTTTTGGAAGAAATAAAGAAAAAAAATCAGCATGATAAAAAAAATGTAGATCTGTACAAAGAAATAAAAATTTCTGGAAATGATTAGTTATAAATGTAAATATAAAAGATGTTCTAAAATGCATTAATTGCTGTAAAATATATTTTATGTTATTGTTTATTTTATATATAATGCTCTCTATTTTAATTGTTTTTAGAGACAGTGTCTCACTCTGGTGCCCAGGCTGAAGTGCAGTGGCATGATCACAGCTCACTGCAGCTTTGAACTCCCAGTCTCAAGCAATCTTCCTGCCTCCCGAGTAGCTGAGTCTGCAGAGATGCACCAGAATGCCTGACTAATTTTGTTTTTAATTTTTTCTCTTTTGTAGAGACAGAATCTTGCTTTGTTGCCCAGTCAGATGTGAACTCCTGGGCTCAAGAGGAAATGAACCTCCTGCCTTAGCCTCAAAAGTGCTGACAACAGCCCCAAGTCAAACCCCCACCCTGGCCTATAAAAATTTACTGCCTTCTCTCCCGTCCTATATAACCCCAAAATTCCTCATCTCTCACTCACCTCAAAATAACAAAATAAATACAAAATGGGAGAGAATTCTGCAGTGATTTGTAAAATTCTGGGTTTTCTTTTCTCTTTTTAAAAACTTTCTCATATCAAATGGGTAATGTACTAATGTCATAATAAGATGTAAAAGAAGATTACAACTCACATATGAGTTAAAAAACTCAGTCATCACATGTATAAGCTGGAAATGATCTGTAAGAATCTTATACTACATGCAAAACCATATAATATTCAAATCAATATTAAAATTAATTAAAGATGCATATTGTAAACTTTAGGGTAAAAATTAAATTTTAAAGAGAGTATGAATAATAACCACAAAACGAATTAAATAAACTCTTATGATACAAAATTACTCCAAATGCTATCAGAAGAAGAAATAAAGCAACAAGAAACAGAACATATAGTATGTTTATGGGAATCTAAAATTGGTTCAATATTTGAAAATTATTCAATGTAATTTTAAATCAACATAAATAGAAAAGTTTGATCATCTCAGTAGATGGAAGAAAAACATTTAACGACTTTCCAACATTCATCAACGTTAAAATGTCAGCAAAGCTGGAAGAGAACTTTCTCAACTTGTAAGGCTATATGCCAACAACAACAACAACAACAACAAAAGCAAGTAAAATTATATAAACAGTGAAAGACTGAATGCATTTCCCCAAAATCAAGAACAGAAGCATGCATATGTACTCTCACCACTTTTCTCACTATCATACTAAAAACTCTAGCCAATGCAATTAGAGCAGAAAAATAAATTAAAAACTTGCATATTTAAAATGAAAAACTAAGCACATTTGAAGATCAATGATTGTGTAGAAAATCTCTGATATTCTACATTGAAACACTGCTAGAACTAATGAGTTTAAGGCCATGGGATATAAGATAAATTATGGAAGATAATCTTTTTACGCATATTATTATTAGAAATTAAAATTGAAATAAAATTGTTTTAATAGTAAAAAAGAAGAAACAGTTATGAATCAACAAAATCTGTATGATCTATATATGGAAAGCTAAATATTATTGATTTAAAAACTCAACAGAGATTTAAATAAATGAGTGAAAAAAAAGTCAAACCAAGACTACTTGTCATGCAAATTCCACATTTGTAAATTCTAGAGAGTGAAACTAATTTTCAGTGACGGAAAGCAGACCAATGATCGCCTAGGGATGGAGTTAAAGATTGGGATAGATTAAAGAAAGAAAAGGAGGGTGGAAGAAACTTTAAAGAAGTAGTAAACGTTATTGATTGTGTTTGGTAAGTGTCTAAGTGTAAACAGATATGTAAAATTCTCGTAAATTGTATACTTTGACTTCTGTACAATGTAGTTCATTGTCGATCAAGTATCCTTCTATAATCATGAAAAAGAAAGCTGTGTTTCTATATAGGTCAATTTGTAAATAAAAACTATATTGGCTGTTTCTTGGCAGAAACTCTTGTAAATGGTACGTTTGTTAGTGAACTTTTGAAGTCAGCCCAAACATTTCAAATTTATGAAAAAATTTTGATCTACTGTATGCAAAATTCAAAGGAGTAAATGGTACGTTTGTTAGTGAACTTTGAAATTCAGCCCAAACATTCAAATTTATGAAAAAATTTTGATCCTACTGTATGCAAAATTCAAAGGTCAAATACCAATGAAAGAAAGATGTAATTATTGAGAAAAGGTCAGTCCATGGGACATTATTTTGCTGATGTAAAGATGCTATAAGAATAATAGGTCTTCTTCTAGTTTGTGCTTGTAAACTAAATTTGCCGAAAACCTAATACTCAGTTGTAGCTGATTTAGAAATATAGAAAGGCACTTCTCTTTGATTTTCTTTATCTTACAGTGTAGGTCCCTCTGCCTGGAGCAACAGTGTTTAGCCCTGGCTATACCTTAGCACAGACAATGATACCTTTAAAAATAAAAATTTCAAAGGTGCACCCACAGAGGTTCTGAATTAGTAGGACTGGCATCCAGCTCAGATATCTGGAGGTTTAAAGTACTCTCTTGGAGGTGATAATGCCCCATCATGGTTGACAACCATTGTCCTTGAAAGAGCAAGGATTGAAAGTCAAGTTAGCCTGTGATTGTCATCCAAAGATAGCCATCCATATAGGAGTCTTCAAGGCACCCTAGAAAAGTTTTGACTCTACCTGAAGAGATGCAAGCTACTCAAATATGGATGGAGAGCTTGGAATATAAAAATAACGACAAACATTTAAAGACTGGGAAAATCATGAAGTATTTTACTTTGACATACTTAATGTATTTCAATTTTTATGTAATTATTTCATCGCAATGTTTACGCTTTGATGTTTATTAGAGATATTAAAGAGATTTTTGAAATAACCAAGTAGAATGATCTCTATCTGTTTCTCTCTCACTCTCTCTGACCTTCTCACTCTCATCACTTCCTTACCCCATTCTCCACACTCCTGTTTCTCACTCAATGAAACACATCAACAGGAAGTGTGGTCACAGGATCCATGAGGTCAATACAAAAGCATCAGAGTTAACCTGTTGATATTGAATAACGATTTCAGCCAGGTGAATAAGAAGAGACAATGCTGTCTTTTTAAAAGTAGTTTTATATTTCATTATTATAAAAAGAATATATATATTCACTGGAATAAATGCAGCAAATAATTATTGATTTCTTATAATTGCTGTATACTTTCATTATTATACTTTCCTGAAAGTAAGTATAATAAAAAAAGAAAGAATTCCCCACCATGCCACTACAAAATGATAGGCTCAGTCACCATTTTGGTAGATACATTTTTTTCAGATAGTTTTCCATGTAATTTTGAAAACACATATGCAGTAGATTAAAAAAATACTGGCAAGTATACACATTATTTATTTTTCCCTTTTTTGTGCAGTAATATTTCTTTTTAAATATTTTACTGCCATTTTTAATTTGTTTATTTTACTGTGTGCCTTGGTTATCCTGGGTCAATTATTATTTTTCACTTACTTTATGATTATTACTGAGGATACTTTTATTGTGTTGAGCAAGTACATTAAAAATGGCCCACTCCTGATGTTAAATATGTCACTAATATACAATGTATTCTCATTGGGCTACTTCTGCTCAAAATTATATTCATAATATCTTATAATGCTGGTGTTGTATGTGCCATTTCATTCTGTTGTTAAGTAGGAGTTCATTGTTGAATTAACCACATTTTTATTCTATACTTAACATTTTGATAACTATTTCTGAAGAGGAAGGTGGAAGAAGAGTCTTTACTACCTATTGTGCACTTGTTTGCCAAACATTGTGTTTAGCAGTTTATATGCATTATTCAGTTCTCCCCACAAGGAACCTACGAAAGAGACCCTATTGTTAGCCCATATTTTAAAATAAAGTAATTGAGGCACAGAACACATAAAAGATTCATACAACATTATATTGCTAAAAGTGACTTATCCTGGATATAAACATAAACTGCACTAGTTCAGTGTCCCAAAGCGTGACAACCATAAAATATTCCCTCTTTAGTAGTCTTCAAAAGTGTGTGAAATTGTTTGCCTCTACATTGACCACCACTGCAGTAATAAATGATTAAATTTCCAACCAACAGGTTTGTAAAATCAAACCTTACATTAATAGCAAAAGTCATAATTCCAATCTGTACAATGAAGCTCCATTTTGAGCATACAATTTCTGTAGTACTTTAGCCTTTTTCCTTTATTCTGTTTTTCTTTTCTGTAGAGTATTAAACAATTTCTACAAGTTTATTCTTCTTTAAAATTCCAGAGGCAGGGGACTCCACAGTTAGTTCAATACTGATATCTAAACTAGGGTTGCCAGATTTAGTAAATAAAAATAGAATGATGTCCAGTTAAATTTGACTTTTAGACAAACAACAAAGAATTTTTTAGGATGTGTATTCCTTATGAAACAGTTGGGAAAACAAATAGTAGAAGTATTATTTGCTTTCCATCTTAAATTCAAATGTAATTGAGTGTCCTGTATTTTATCTGGCAAGACTAATCTAAACTAAAGCAATATAGTTTTAGAGACTCTCCCACTGATGAAAGATAATCTTGTGTGTCCCAAGCAAATAAAAACATAAGACATTATCTCAAATATTGCTTACTGAGTTTGTTTGTATAAAAAGAACATCTAAAATGTACAATTAAAAAAGTTTACTTCCATCCTCTAGAAATCATTCTTATTAATCCCTCTTCCAAATATGCTGAGAAGAGAAAACAAACTAAAAAACAAAACAAAAAAATAAGGCACCAATCATAGAATGCATAAGGTACCCTAAAGTAAACAGGATCCATATTTCCTCCAAGGAAGGGTGCCTTATGGAAGTAAGGACTCTATAAACATGGGCCAAACTTAAGAATAGTTAAGTAGAACCCCTCTTCTCCCACCTCTGTCCCATCTGCCTTTTTCCACCATATTGAAATCTTGAATTAATACTGGAGACAGTAGGTATGAAAAGCCAATAGAATTACTTGCAAGTGGCTATCATGAACTACCCAGAATAAAGAGTTCCTTCTTTTTGCAAGCATAAAACTACTAAAGATAATAAGAGAAAGCAATTTCAGACTGTCTTCCTCTTCAGCTAAAAGTTAGACAAGGACACGAAGAGTGGTTAGCTCCCTTCTGACACTCACACTGAACCCTGCCCTTCAGAATGATGAGAATGCTCTGCTGGATGGCACAGTTATTCAGTGTTGGCATGCCACTTGATGCAGTCTATTTAAAATGTTTTTAGGAGCTTGGGTTTTCCCTTCCCTATAATTTAGAAGGCAGAACAGAGAGGCAGTTTGCTCTTAAAACAATGCAATTGTGAGCTCCTGAGCCATTGTCAGACTGACTTGTTTTCCATGGAAAGTAACTCCCTTGATGTATGCCGGAGATCTGTACCCCCAGATTAATGAGAGAGGGCTCACAAAACTTGTGCTTAGTTCTGGAACTTTAACAAGAGTGCAGTGATTGTAATGGAAAGAATAAAGGAAGGGACCTAAGTGGCAGCAGGAGACTTGGGTCTGGTTCCCTTTTTTCAATCTTGCTACACACTAGGGTGTGGCCTTTGGTAAATTACCACCTTGGAACTACAGTGTCTTCTTCCTTAAAATACTGAGGTTTGACTACATTATTGTAAAGATCCTTTTGAAACTAGAAGGCTATGGCATTTTACATTAGCTTTTGGTTTCCCTCGGGATTCTTGTGTT